TGAGCTCCGCTGTCCGCATGGACCATGCCCCGCCGCAGGCCTTGCCCGAGGTCAGAGCCAACTCGGACCCTGCTCCACGCCGGCCTGGCTGGCCTGGCCCTCTGCGCCCTTCAGCTGGAGGCCGTGGCCATGCTTGGGACGGCGGCTTCCCTGAGCTGCTGGAGATACACAAGTGTATACAGCTTTGGTGTAGCTCTGGGGGCGGCAGTGTCTGAGCGCTGCACGATGCGCGGTGCATTTACTGTTGCTTTTTTGTTGAATTTCTTTGTTGCTGCTCCCCTGCCCCCTGTACAAGTCGACAGTCTGGTGTGTCCAACACAGCAGTCTGTGACACAGGACATCACTGCCCCTGGGCACTGGCATTAGAGGGTGACCGATGACCAGGACTGACTGCAGCAGGAGGGGTGTCCCCTGCCCAGACACGTTTGGTGAGGGCAGACTGACAGGTGCAGAAATACTAAATACTCTCCCTTTCCTACTGCAGGTGTGCTTCATTGGCCGAAGCAATGTGGGGAAATCCTCTTTAATCCGGGCCTTGTTTTCCCTGTCTCCAGAAGTGGAGGTCAGAGTGTCAAAAACTCCGGCAAGTGACATTTTTATCTTCCCTCCCTCTTGGTCAGTAGCTGGTGCCAGCCCAGAGGATAGGGTGGGTGGAAATGAGCTCTTGGGTAACATGAAGTGGCAGGAGAGTGTGCCAGCCATGGTGGCCACCGGTTTACGGATGGCACAGGCCTTGCTCTAGTGAAGGACGAGGTGGAAAGAGCCCGGTGTAGCTCTTCAGTCAAGGCAGCACACATGCCAGGCAGAAGAGTCGTACAAGCTGATCAGGCGTGATGTCAGGTCTGTTGGGAAGAGCCAAGCACAGAGACCCAGAAGGGTATTTTTAGTCTGTTTTAAGGATAGAGCCACATAGCGTTGCTACCGGGGTCAAGACTAGACAGCTTAAAGCAACGGTAGTATATTTTGCAGCCTTCTTGGCGGTGGAGGGGCAGGTATGGAACAGAGATGTTTTTCCTAGTCCACTGCTTAAAGCAGCTTTTTAAAATCACCCCATTCCTGATCTTATCTTTAAAAAAAAAAAAATTCTCTCCTCAGGGCCACACCAAGAAGATGAATTTCTTCAAAGTAGGGAAGTACTTTACTCTGGTGGATATGCCAGGATACGGCTACCGTGCCCCACAAGACTTTGTGGAGATGGTGGAGGCCTATCTGCAGGAACGGCACACGTAAGGGACCTAACTGTACCTCCACACAGCAATGAAAGCCAGACACCTATACACAGTGTTGTGTAATTTGGTGAAAAAATGCAGGAGGAGCAGCTGCTTCCAGTGGTAGCATTGATTAGTTCTGGTGTCATTTCCCTGGGAACCTTTGTGCTGTCACTCATTTGTGCTTAGATCAAAACAGCAGAAAAGATTGAGGTGGTGCTCCATGCTGACCCTCAGCTCCCACACGTGGTGTTTCTTGGCTCTTCCTATCCACAGATCGCGTGTTACTGGCTCTTGCTTATGAATTTGGAAGTAGTAGAGCAGGCATGAATAATGGTGGTGATTACTGTTGCTTGTATTTCTGGCAGCTTGAAGAGGACTTTTCTGTTGGTTGATGGTGTAGTAGCACTCCAGAAAACAGATCATATTGCAGTAGAGATGCTGGAAGAGTTTGGGATTCCTTACGTGGTAAGTAATGCATTGTTCTTGTGTTGGTGATAAGCTGCAGACAATCTATGAAGCTGTGTACCCTTTACCTGAGCTCGTGCAAGTTGTCCTAACTTGTAGTAACTTCCCCTTCTTTATTAATAAAATAGGCCTAAAATGTGTTAAGGAAGGCAAGAGGGATTTAAGGGTTTTTTGCTTGATTTATCAAATGGACATTTGATTTTTCGGTACTCAGCTTGAGGAGCTTGAAAAGGCCCATTCCTTACGCAGGCTATAGAAGTGTTTTGGTGAACTGTGTTATACCGTTTTTCACCCTAGATATGACCCAGAGTTTTCAGCCTGCCTTGCAGATGGTCCAGCAGCACATCTTACATCTGTTCCAGGCTAATCTTCTTTTCTAATTCTCCCTTTGTGGATTCATGCAGATGGTGTTAACAAAAATTGACCGGGCTTCCAGGGGACTGTTGTTAAAGAACGTACTTGAGATCCAGGAGTTTGTAAAGGAGAAAACTCAGGGATGCTTTCCTCAGCTATTCCTGGTCAGGTAAAGCTCTACTGCCGTTTCCTGTCAGGTGATGATTTGCAATAGGGCAAACTACCTGAAGTGGATCCGTCTGCTCTAGACGTGGCACTTTGCTGTGCCCCAAGGATGGAGGGTGGGCTGCTGACGGGGAAAACGCCTCTTTCCTTTGTCCGCCGCCTCTGCAAGTGAGTGGAGTTCAGTTTTCAGGGCTGCTGCTGCTTTTGGCCTTTCTCCAAGGGGGGCGACAGTCCCTGTTGATGCATGGTTGGTGAGCTCTGCCACTTTATTTGGAGTTAACAGCAGCAAGCTGTAGTTGCTGGATTACGTAGCTGAAGTGCTTTCTCTTACTAAGTTCGTCCTGCACTGTGGGAAGTGTAATTTAATGCAGCTGTGGCTGAGTTTGCTGCATCTTGGAGTAATAGAAGCAGCATCTGGCACTGAACATCCACACCTTTGTTTCCACAGTTCTCGGGATTTTTCGGGGGTTCACTTGCTAAGGTGTTTTGTAGCCCATATTACTGGAAACCTGCCTACTGTAGAGACCAGCTGAGGAGACTGGCTCCTGATCTGCTCGGCTCATCCAGAACAAAAGGTAGTAAAACTAGAGGTCTGGATTTTTGTTGTAAATAACCAGAGGTACTAGAACTTATTTGTGTGTAAATGTGAATAAGTTTTTGGATAAATTAATATTTGTAAGGCTAAGCTTTTGTTTAATAAATTCAGGAATTGTTTAATCAATTCATGAAGCTTGCACTATGAATGAATCTAGGTTGTTATAAAACTGTTCTAGAAAAGCCTACATGATTGTGCTAAGGAGAAAAATAAGCAAAGAGAACCTCCAAAGAGAAGCTAAGTTTTAATACATTCGAACAGTTTTAATCCCGTCCCTCCAGCTAAATGTTCTTAAAAAACTACACTTCATGCCTAAGCTCTGCTATATTTTTAGTTGGATGATACAAGAGGTTTACTTCTCTCAGCTTATGTAGCGGGGGCCAAAAACTAGTTACCTGTGCAACCTGCCTGCTCTAAGGTGATTTAGAGTGGAAGTAGCCAACAGGTTATCTGTGAAGGTGTGTTTAGCACCTCCTGTATATTTTACTTTTGTAACTTCTCCATTGTGCCTTCAATAGGTGCAGTGTGATAGCATGGCTTGCTTGCATACATCGAGTTATCCCTGTTCCAGATGGATGATGGAAAGGATGCATTTTGAATGGGGTCTACTTTTGATTACTCTTGGCTTGAAACAGAGTGGAATAAAAAACTGGCATCTAAGGGAACTTTCTCCTTCTGCAGTTTATCATCAGTCAGTGCTGCATCTGTTTGAAATCCAGCATGGAGTTCTGCAGCTGCACTCAGATGAACTGCCAGAGATGAGGCGCATTGTCCTGCTCTACCCTGCAGCTGAAGCACAATACTGATGGACACTGTAGCAGCTGTGTCCCACAGCAGCTGTGTCTGGCTGAGAGCACCTGAAACTGTCCAGGAACAAGGTACAGAACGGGACAGAAGGACTGCCATCAGTAGCAGGAGGTGTACAGGAGAGCTTAGACCAAAGCTGTTACGTGCCTGTGTCACACTCTGGCACTCAGTTGTGTCCTGTCTTCACGTTGCCAAATTGTGGGTATGCTGTGTACATTAAGTGTTTAAACCTCAAGGAAGGGCAGTTCTTTTGTGAACCACTCTGAGGGTGAGAAGGTGACATTTCTCGTGTTTTCTTTCATTCAGAATTTCTTGTAACTTGGACTAGATACAGTGAGGTCTGTTTTCAGCATACGTGTAAGAAGTAGGGGATGTGAGGAATGCCATAGAATGATACAGATCTCTAGTTTCCACACCTTAGCAGACATCAAACCTGTCATTCTGTAATGTTTTTGCCTCTAATCCCAGAAAGCGGCAGAGCAAACCAGCCCATGGGATACTTGATCCTAGGGGGAAGTGCAGTAGTATCTAGACAGATGGAACCAAAAGGTAACGTGGGTGCACAGACAGAGCTCCCACGGAAGCATGTGGCTCTGAGGTCACAGGCTGTAGGCAGTGCCACAGCCCTCACTGGTAGCAGGGGGCTGCCATGAGTACGGCTGTGTACGGCATGAGAAGGTAGGTGATCCACTCAGCCAAGCAGCACAGCTGCAAGACTAAATGGAAAGGCTTAGGAGCATTAGGGAGGCTGAAATGGAGATAGACCAGTGGAGGCTCTGCCCTCCCTGCAGCAGAAATGGGACCACCCACCATATAGCACTCTGGACAGGGGCAGGGTACAGGTGCCCCTTGATCAGGTGGAAGACAGAAGCCTAAATGAGGCTGAGTGGAGGCAAGTTCATGACAGTGGCAGAAGGCAAGCACCCTCCTTGTCTGCCTCACCTCCCCAGGTGCCTCTGAGAAATAGATATGAGGCCCTGCTGGAAGATGGCCAGTCCAATGAGGATGTGGACAATAGGCAACCTATACCAGAGGTCATACCACAGTCACACAGGCCTTCCAGTCATAGAGCAACCTCTTCCACAAGGGAGAAGAGTTGTAGTTGTTGGAGACATTCGTAAAGGGAACAGAGGGCCCTATATGCTGGTTGACCTTCATCATAGGGAAGTCTGAAGTTTTCCTAGAGCGCGAATCAGGGATATCACTAGGAAACTCCCCAACCTGGTACGGTTGTTAGACTATTACCCACTACTGATCTTCCAGACAGGTGGGGAGGAAACTGCATCCCATAGTCTGAGGAGAATGGAGGCTTCAAGGGCTTGGGATGGTTCATGACAGAGTCTAAGGCTCAAGTTAATTTCTCTTCCCTCCTTCCAGTTGCAGGCAATGACACAGGATGGATTAGAAGGATCCAGTCTGTAAATGCCTGGCTCAGAGACTGGTGCTACAGACAGGGCTTTGGGTTTTTTGATCGTGGCTCAGGAAAGCTGACAGTCTTTAAAGAGGGCATCTTCCAAGTGCAAGAATGGACCATCCTTATATTCAGACAAGCAGGCATACTGGAGATCACTTGGGCTGTACTGGGAACCCATGACAGAGCTCCAGCATTAAAAGGCAGTATGTAAGAGGTGGAAACAAGGACAGGCTACAGAAGAGGAATTTAGAAACTCCCTGACATGTAAAGATGATGTGAGGAAAGCTGCAGCTGAGACTTGTAAAAAATGTAACAGCATTTTCTTTGAAAAATGTAAAGGATTCAAAAGGAGAACTGCCAGCAGTGGGTAAGGATCAAGCTCAGGACTATTCAAGAGAGCTGAACCCCTACAAGTCCATGAGACCTGACAGGGTACATCTGAGAGTGCCAGGAGAGCTGGCTGCCATCCTTGCACGGCAGAGGTCCCCAATGGCTCGAAGGAAACAAATGTTGCACCCAGCTTCAAAGAGGCAAATAGAACAATGCAGGGAACTGCAGGTTCAGCCGGCCTAACCTCTGTCCCTGGGAAAATCATGGGGTGAATTACTTTGGAGCACATTCCTGGGGATGTGAAGGGGAAGTAAGGATCTGGAGACAGCATGGATTTATCAAGGGTAAATCATGCCTGACCAACCCAACTGCCTTCTATGATAAAATGACCAGATTTTTGTATGAAGGGAGGACTAGCGGGTGTCTGAATTTAGCAAGTCTTTTCACGTTGTCTCCTGCAATATTCTTGTATCCAAATTGGGATGTTACAGTCTGGACAGATGCACAACTAGATCAGTAAAAACTGATTGGATAATTGGGCTCAGAGGGTAGAAGTTAATGGGTTATACTACACCTGCATGTCCAGGTTTTTTACACCTTTAAGAGTGATCTGGAGCAGGTCCATTCTTACCAAATGTGCATATGGCACCAAACTGGGGGGAGCAGTGGGCACAAGCAGGGCTGCCATTTAGAGGGACTTTGGAGAGCTGGAGGAAAGGGCTGACAGCAGCCTTATGAAATTCAGCAAATGCAAGTGCAAATCTTGCTCAAGGGAAGGAAGAGCCCCTGGCAGCCTTATAGGCCAGGGACTGACTGGGAGAAAACCACCTTTCTGACCTCATGGCTGATCCTCTTTTCATCAGGGAAATGGACCAGACTCCTCCTAAAGTTCCTTTCAAATAAGATTATCCTGATCTGACAACCTAATGAGTGTCATATACAGATTTGGGGAAGATCGCCAAATCGATCTCAAAGTAATTCCTTAGTGCCACAACTTCAATCTGGAAGAATTGCAACTTTTGTTTTTGTAAAATTAAAAAAATAAATTACAGGAAGAAAAGAATGCTCATAGGATCCCTGCTTCCACAGGAACAAGATTTTACAGGCTTAAGCATGCTCACCTGTGCATCATGGGAAGAGCTGTTTGCTTTACAGTTAGTGATACAACCACTAGCAATATTGATTTGATTCAAGGAAAACAATCTGTACTCCTGCTTCTTGCAGTCCCCGCACTACCCCTTTCTGGGCAAGTGCCTGTACAACCCAACCCTAAGCTGTGTGGGCTGTGTCACCTTCCCCACCAGTGTCCCTCCCCCACCACAGGCTGGGCTGCAGAGGCAGCAGCCCAGCCAGGGAGCAGGGACTCCTCCAGCCCTCACCCTAGTTCTTCTTTCTGTTCACCAAACTACTTCTCACACAAGGGGAGCAAGGGTTTGAGTATGCTGAGAAGTACAGCAACCTAGTTACTGTAGGCAGAGAACTGAAACAAAATCGAGGTCTACACCTACAAAGGTGAATTAGGCTTTAGGGTTGTTTTCCTCTGAAGAAAACACACTATAATAAAATCCTGACATCCAAGCAGCTGAGAAGGACGCTGGCCTTGCAAGAAACAACTGCTGCCAGCTTTGTACCTCAGCTCACAGGGAGCACCAACTGCCGCTTCCCCGGACGGGGCAGCGGAGCCCTCTCGCCGGCAGAGCAGCAGTTTCGCTCCGCGGGGACGGGTCTCCAAGAGGAGAGTCAACGTGAGACTCGGCGACCGAGTACAGCCGCGAGCGGAGAGGGGGCGGGGCGGGGTGGGCTACCCCAACAGCACCGCCCCGGTCCCGCCCTTCATCGCATCACAACATGGCGCCCCCCAGCTCTCGTCTTTCACAGCACCACAACACAGCAGACCGCGGCTCCTGCATTCCACCGTACCGCAAGATGGCGACCTCCG